TAGTATATCAATATGGTGAATTATCCCTAGCCGAGCAAGCTAAAAATGTTAGTTTATGTAGATCGAATGAGAAGAATTTTTCTATTGATTATTTCTATTAATAGTTCAAATCGAAAGAAAAATGGCTTCGGAACATCGTTTTCGAAAATCTCCACCAAGAATTGCCCTGATTTATCGATTGTTGACCAATGAAATTTCAATATACTGCACTGGCTTCGAATCTTCTTACCTGAATGATGAAAACTACAGATCCCTATGATGTTCCAATTGAAAGCTATTCAAAAACCAGAGGAGCACATCAAAGTTTGACACGAACAGTAGATACTCGACTGGAATCTAACGGATTCAATTGTCTAGTTAGCTACTTTTACAAATCAATGAAAATGAAGGGTCATAAAACAGTGTGTTTAAGTTTTAACAATCTAGTACATTTAAATGTACAACTCTGAAAACTACATGATGCGGAAACATTTAGTATCTGAAAAATTTCTTTGATACAAAGACGTCAATGTATAGGCAATACAATGATTGAAGAGCTTCAGCTCCTAATACTCGATTGAGTTTGCTTTTCAAAATAATCGCTCCTGTTTGCATCTCTCATGTGGAACAAAAGCTATATTTCACTATAATTAGATATTATTGGTTACCATCTGGTGCACTCGCTATAAAGCTTCATCATCAGAATAATATTTTATAGTCACTTTTTTAAATACATTCTTTGATTCAGTCTAATCATGTGTAAATATTTATGATCATCATTTCAATATTATATTAAGTTTTAAATACAATTGTTTTCTTTTTTCCTTCTAGTTGATTTATTCTATAATGATACTTTTTCATATATAAGACAAGAAAAAAAAAGTGAGAAGTCAAAAAAACAAAATAAAAGGAAAAAAAACATTACTTTTTCTCTTAATTGGTGTGTTATATTATTTTTTTCCTCTTGTAAAGTTTGAAAGACTGTCGCACAAACAAAAAGGCAACAATAGACACACATTAGAAAAAAAAAAAGTAAATCCTTGCATATGTATACACACATGACAACAAAAATATGTAGAAGAATATGTTCACAGTTCAAAAAAAAAACAAGCAGACAAACAGTGGAAAAAAAACGAACAACAACAATAATGCAATTCGTGCGTATCTGGCGCCGAAAGGACGCTAGGTAAAGGTTATCTGAAGATAAAGAAAATGTATACACGAAATCCGGAAAGAGGACAAAAAAAACTTCTATTCAACTTGTCTGTTCACCTCGACAGATAGGACACCGAGTTGATGTCTAAAAAAAAAACAAAAAAAAAAAAGAAATTGTATTGCCAAAAGAAAAAAAATGCATGAAAATGTTACCTTAAGCCATGGATCAATGCATTCACTATGAAAGAAGTGTTTGCATCGTAAACGTTTGAGTTTTTCACCACCTATATATTCACTCAAACATACAGCACATTTATCATCGTCTTCAATATTTGTACAAGATTTTGTAAAAATCATTGTTGGTAATCGTTCAAGTTCACTATCAGTTAAACCGACTACAGGTGTTTCATCAGGCATAGTCAAATCGAAGAAATCCTACATTAGAAAAAATAAATTCATCATATACGAAATAGATCTACAAAAACTTACACCAAATTGAATACTAAATGCAGCTGGTAATGAAAAAATATCATGACCGGGAGACATCCATGCATAAGCAATTAAATCAATTGATGCCGATGGTGGATGATGATGGTGATGATGATGATAATGAACATGATTATCATTGTATGACGCAGCATGTGCATCAATAACACGACTAAAATGTTAATAAACATTTAATTTATATTCAAAAGATGTATAGATGACGTACTGAAGTAAATCAGTAAGAAAAGAAGTCGAAGGTCGTTGATGTAAATGAGCAGTCATTGATGTTCGATGAAGAAGAGGAGCACGCTGTGGTACTGGTTCGATTGTTATTCCACTTCGTTGATGATGATGATTTTGTTGTTGTGTATAAGAAGAACGAGGAGGAGGAGGAGGAGGAGGAGGAGGAATTGGTTGACGATGAGGTAAAGTAACAGGTGGTGATTCTAGTAACAATGATCGATGATTAGAAGTATGGTAAGTATTACGAGGTTGTATTGGTAATGGTGGTTGTAAAGTATGATGATGTGATCCATAATGTACATTTGTATTATTGATATCTTGTGAATGTTCATTTCGATTTCGTTGTATTGCTTGTGCACGTTGATCAAATGATCGAGAAATAGAAGGAACATTATCATTATATGATGCTCGAGGCAAAGGAGTTGGTTGTGGTTGTACATGTCGATAATTTCTATATAATTAAAATAAGAAAATTAATTTTATATTAAAATATTAAATAAATATTACTCACGGATACGGTTGATAATGATGTTGATGATGACTAGATGGTCGATTCTGTTGTTGCGGTTGCTGCTGCTGTAATACATTCTCTTGTGAACGATAATTTGTTCGTGGATGTTCATCATTAATTGCTTCATGTCTCGAACGTTTTCGTTCAGGATGATGATAAGATTGTGAAGATTGAGAAGTAGGTGTACTAACAGCCGATGATCGTTGTCGTTTCGTATGATTATTATTACGAGATGAACGTTGTATTGTTCCATTATTATCTTCTGATTCATCATCAAGCCATGGTGGATGTCGTGTAAATGCAGCTGCAGGTGGATTTTCTAAATGATAATGTCGATGATGTGGAGCAGTAGCAGTTGTTGTTGCTGCAGCCTAGTTTAGATTAATTATAAAAATAAATCATTAAAAAAAAAAAAAGAAAGAATTTTTTTTTACTGCTACAAGACTTGAAGATAATGAAGATCTTGGTTGTTCTCGTTCATTTGATTGCAAATAATGGAAATGATATGATGGATGTGATTCATTTAAATGATGAACAGCTTGATTATTATTATTATTGTTATTATTATTATGCGTTTCTTGATTGGATACAAATAATGGAGATTCGACTGTATTTTGATGAGATGGATATTGAAAATAGGACACACTATTTTGTGTTGAATGGGAAGAAGGTTCAGAAGATGTTGGTTGTGGATGTATACAAGATAATGAATCTGTTAATGGCCATGATGAACTATCCGATGATGTATCACTAGCCTGTGATGGTGGATAAGAAACAAAATCACACATTTGAAGTGATACACGACGACGAGGTGGAATAAATGGACGATTTGAATATTGACGAGACATGAAAATCTGGATACGAAAAAATACAAAAGACAAATAACCTATACAACCTTCCCGATTGCCTCGTTCGATTTAACCAAAAAAAAAAAAGAAGAAAGGCAATGGGAGAAGATTAAAGAATGCAATGCAATTCAATGCACGTGGTATCCATGATTTAGAGTTCAATGACAAAATGAGCCAATCATCTTCAAGCAGTAATGTACGTTTGTAAAATACCGAAGTCATTGTCGCTTTAGTTTATTGGATTGTTAGTCTATGTGTATCACTTATCATTCTCCGTTCTCTTTCTTCTAATTTATAATCATTTTTCTTATATTCCGCCTAGAACAATTTTCGAGGTTAAGTCATTGTTTATGTGTTTTTTTTTAGATATGACAATTATGCCTTTGCATCTTCGACAAATTCTCGATCGATTATCATTACCATCACTTCGATATTATACATTAATTAGTTACTTCTTTATTATTTAGTAATATACTTTATTTTCATCATTTAATTAAAACAAATGTTGAAAATTCGACAAATGAAAGGAGTTCATGACGCAAATGAATTACAAAATAATTCAAAATTTTTATATTATATATATATATATTTATAGAAGTATATATATAATAATAATAATAAGTTTATTAATATCTCCTAAGGTCTACCAGAGTCTACTAAGGTCTACCAGGGTTTCGCGGTACCCACATCGAGAGAGATGTGATGTAAGTCGTTTCGCGGCACCCACATCAAGACCCTGGTAGACCCTAGTAGACCCTGGTAGATATTAATAAACTTATTATAATTATACATATACTTCTATAAATATAAATATAATATAAAAATTTTGAATTATTTTGTAATTCATTTTTTTTTGAATTACTTTGTAATTCACTTGCGTCACCCAGTGAATGAAAGAATGATTAATGAAAGTATATTCTTCTCGAATGCAAAATCATTTTCATTTGCATATATTCAAACACTTTTTCCATGATTATATCTCAATCATTATCTTTATTAGGAAGAAAAAAAAAAAAAAAGAAGAAAGAATATTTTTTATTCGAAAAAAACGAAATATATCTTTGTTTTTTTTTAATATTTATTAATGCAATTTATTGTTCATTTGGTTTATTTGCGAAATATTTAGAAAAATTAATATTTGGTGAATTACGTTTAGTTGAATTACAACGTATCAAAGATAAATTTTGGAATTATGCATTTTATAAATTTTCTTTTCTTTTTAATGTACTCAGTTTAGAAAATTTAAATAAACTTGTTCTATCGATATCATGCTTTTCAATTTTAGCTTTTGCACTTCTTTTTTGTCAATTAGCTAAAGATTGATCTGAATTAGTAAGTTAAAATTATTGATTATTTGACAATAACTAGCAGTGTATCAAATAATTTATAGGAAAACATCTTTTCATTGTTGAAGAGTTCATAGGAGGGTGTGGGTGTGGGTGTAAGGGAAAAGACGACACCTAGACACCGGCACCCACACCCACACCCTTCCTCTACAAACCTACGTATATCCCATTATGTGGTCAAAAATTGACCTATAAGTTATAGTTATCTTTGATGCTGCACAAAAATTTACAGAACTTCTGTTTTAACGCAATACATAATACATATACATATGTTTAAACAAAATTAATTTATTTCTCAGATTTCTATTTATAACACATGATTATTTTCATCTTTATAGAAATTTTATTTTTTTACAACAAAATAAAAAAAAACATTTTTCTCTTATTTTATTTTGTTTTTCTTTTATTTAATGCTGTATTTTTTTTTGTCTTTCAATATAATCCATAACATATTTTTGCATAAGGAAAATATTCTTCTAAAGAATTGGAAGGTTTTTCTTGACCCCAAAAATGTAATTTACTTATTTTGGCACAATTAGTTCGAGTAGAATCTCTTGTAAAATTGTGTGTTACTCGTTGTAAAGATTCATAAGCAACATAAACAATAATATTATTTTGCAAATATGTTTTAGTATGAAAAAGAAATTGTTCTATATAATCATCATGAACATCGCTAATATAAAGTTTCGTAAGAAATAAATATTCAATAAGCGATAAAGTTTGATTATTACTGTTTGATTCATAAGATTGTTTTCGGTTTTGTGGTTTATAATTAACTAAAGATAATTCTTCTATAAATGGAAATGATTTCTGAATTCGAAGAAAAAATTCATGTTCAAAAGGTTGTTCATCAAATAATGACACCACACGAACATGTTCAAATAATCCATCTGGAAAATTATTTGTAATGCCGGTATAATATCGCATTAGAAATGGATATGAATAAATATAACATTGACTTTGTTTTCTATCTGCAAAATAATCAACATAAGAAATTATTTTATTAAATGGAAAGTCAATGAATGTTTGTTGAATATCTTCTGTTGATGGAAAACTCATTTCATTAAAAATATCGATGAATGATCTAATAAAAAATGTAAATTGATTTAATCGTGGCATTTGTTTAATAACTTTTGTCTTGAGATGATTTCCATCAATAAATGTTTCATCAACATACACCGTAAGATATAAACCGAGTTCTTCTAGATTTGACATTCGATAGAGAAGTGGAAGAATGGCTTCATTATAATGATATGTTGCGAGTTCACAGGAAAGAGAAAAACACTTTAGATTTGGTAAATCACCCTAAAAAGTAAAATGTTTTATTGTTTGACAACATTGAATTTTTTTCTTGTAAAACTAACTTGATTTATAATTTCATCTGGACACCAAGTATTAGCCAAATCGACATGAAGCGTGTGAAGTTGATCAAAACGACCATCGAGAAGATAAAGACAATCATCAAAAGAATGTACGTTGATAATTAATTTCAAAAGAGTTGAAGAACGAACATTAGGAAAAAATGGATTATCAAAAATTAATCGAACACGATTTTTATACGATGATTCATATAATACAAAAGTAGTCAGACGAGTGAAAACAGTGAAGATTTTATCACATGCGTTTGCCACTGACAGTGTCATCCGTTCATGATTATCATCATTATTATTATATATTGTAAAAAAGTGTTGTTATCTGATTTTTGAAAATACTCGAAAGAGTTTCATCTAAACATATATAATCAATATATTCAATGATACAGTCTTTCGATAAATCTTTCATTTGTTTCAGAATAAAAAGAATTCAAATAAAAATTTCTTACCATTAAAAAGACATTGAGCTGACTCTTCATCAATATTATAAAGACCAAGACTATCTAAGTTAGGATAATTGGCAACACGTAAAACATGTTTTATAGATGATAAATCAAGATCAAGCCATTGAATTTTATCATGAATCGAAGGTAAAATTTGTAAACAAAATCGATTAAGCATTATATCAGAAGAAAATAGATCGATAAAATTATCTAATGACCATTTGACAAAAGTTAAATGACTTGTAAAAATTCGATCATGAATTATTTCATTTAGTCGCTGATTGACATCATGGAAAGAATAAAGTACGTCAATATTGGTCAATTTTTGAAAAATAATCATAAGGATTTCATCAGGTAAATTATTTAATTCAATGCATGAATATTCCATGTTTATTTTTATTGATCTATTCTTTTCAATTTATGAATGTCAATATTTATATGCATATATACTCATCTATTCTATTTGACCAATGTCGTCAATATAAACAATAATGAATTGTTCTATAGTCCAACAAATTGTTAGCGAATAAATGTTATTATTTATTTTTCTCCTTTTTCTAATATGTCATACAATAAAAATTTATATTTCTTCCATTTATTTATTTTATAATGTGCATAGGAACATTTGCAAGATTCAGTTGATACTTAAATAAAGTTAGTGAAAAAATATTTCTCTACCCATTTGGGAAAATCAATCTCAAAGTTTTAGAATAGATGCTATAACATAAAGTCAAATTTTGTGTTTCTCATTGATGTTAATTTAATTGTTATTGAAAAGCAAAGAGAATAAGTGTTTATTCAATTACTTTGGTTAGAATATGTTTGAATTCTAATTCGATACATTTTAAAGAGACTATCAAGAAAAAATGTGAAAATCTCCAAGTATAATTCTATGATTAATAATAGCTACTCGAATAAATAATTTCTTATGAAATATAGATGGTACTGCAATTTCTAATAGTTACATGTTAGCAACACTTCATTATTGAATGTATCAAGATATTTTATGTTAGTTTTACCAAGTATTTTTGGTTGAAATTGAAAACTGATAATATTATAAGTCTTATAGGACGAATAATATGAAAGAGATTATCATGTTGTTCCAATAAAGAAGCGAAATATTGATTTAGTTCACAATTTACATCGATCTTCTCATCTAATTTAATAAATCGATATTCTTTAAGAGAATACCGTACTTTGAATGCACGAAGTGAGTGTGAAAGTTTAGGATCTAGATTATTGAATCATAAATTGTCAGCTATAATTTCTCACGAGTTTCTAGGTATGGGCTTGTTATACGTGGTGCAGGCCTCGCAGCGTGTGTACTTTCCTGATTTTTTCCTGATTTTTTTAAGGTGTCCTGATTTTCCTGATTTTTTTAAGGTGTCCTGATTTTCCTGCTTTTGACTGAAAATCCTGATTTTGTCCTGATTTTTCAAGATTTATCTCTATAGGACCTCATATATATCATTTTGATGTTTTTGTTTTGTTATACTCAACGTTTCTTAAAAATTTTATGGAAATATTTGTTGAATATTTTCTGTAAAAAGGAATATGGTACTCGAATTTTTATTTTGTCTATTTTTTTCTTGTAATCACTTTAAGAATTGATTATTTCGAATTAATTGGTTTTTGAAAGCATCTATTTTATCATTAGTTATTATCACCAGTACTTCGGCGATATTTATATCATACAGTTTACGACCGTGCGTAGCTGCATTAAATCTTGTATTTCCTTATTTTAACATTTTAGTCGATTTACTAAAGTTTTCTTGTAAACGCTTTTATTCGTTTATCTATAACACGGTTGTTTTATATGTGCCAAGAACAGGGATTTGAAGAAGAGGAAAAGTAGCAGAGAGGGGAAGGAATCGTGATGCAGGGAAATGGTTTGAGTGCCGAAAAGATGGTTATAGAACCTTAAAAACTGCGGATTTTGCTTATTTCTTTTTACGTCTATTTTCCTGATAAAAATGTGATTTCGACTAGAAACAAATGAGACTCCAATAGTAAAGGATGCCTCCTTCCGTAAGCCACGTGTCTGAGGAAAAGAAAACGTATACACAATGCATAATTAGAGATAACGAACGACAAGGAAAAGGCAGAACTCGAAGCATGTATTCGGCGAAATACAATCTAGTAATTTCAATGAACTATCATTAATTGACATACTTTTGTACAGCTTTCATCCTGAACAATAGCACTATGATAAGATTTAAAATGTCCTGACTACTTTCCTGATTTTCAGACATAGGCCGCTGCGACCCCTGCAAGTATATAATGATGATATTTGTATGGATGCTATATCCGGTGATCGAAAAATTTCACCAACATCACCAAAAAATACTACTACTACAAATGGCTGTCAAGGATAATAATCTTGTCTTTTTTTTTCTTAGTTGTATTTATTATATATTTTTCTTAATGTTTTCTCTATGTGAAAATTAAAATACAACAAAAATCAAACCATTTTCTATCGTTGTATGCCACAATTGATATGCTGAATTCTTTCATTTACGTGCAACATAACAAGCTACATCGTGTTTTACATTTTTAATTCTGCAGGGATTGGACTGAAAGCTTCTTAGCTAATATAAGTTTTCTGTAGTAGAACAGATGCAGCGTAATATCTCGAGATTCTTTTTCCTTATTAGAGGATAGTTCATATGAACAGACATGTATCAAATAACAACCAATCCTTCGTTGATCCTGTATATAATTGAATCATTATATAAATACGTTAATCAATTTTGAAAACATATATAGTGAGTAATTTTTTTCTTTAGTTTACAGAAAGAGTCAATTAGCTAGCAAATTTATCGCTGTCTTTTCTTGAATCTAAAAAAAGCTATTAACACGATTTCTGCGAGATTCAAATGTGAAACATGATTGAGTTGCTTACTTTTGTTGTGAATGTTGTCACGTATGCGATAAATTTTTGCTAAAATGTCTATGAGGACGAGACATAGTAGAAGTTATGTTAAAGCGCGTCCAATGTACTACCATATGAGATATTATTCAATGTTTTCTGCGCCAAATCAGTGAGAAAATTAGAACTCAAGCAAAAAGTTGTCGCTTGACTCTCTACTGTGCACAGAAAGGTAGGCCCAAGTTTCTACTTTTACATACATTAACACTCCTTTTAGAGCTTATCTCAGAAAATTTAAAAAAACAAAAAGATTTATTACAAAATTCTAGCCACCGCCGAAGCTTGAGACTTTCGCATATGTCTCAGGTTGGAAAAAAATGGCTCGTGGAATAAGATAGTGAAATATGATGACATATAATGAGTTGTGACACATTGGTTTACAGCCGTTTCTGCCGATTGGAATGATTGTCTTGGAGCTTTCAAAAACGAAAAAAAGTTAAAGATTTTCAGCTTCCGGCTAAGCTCGAGGCTAGTTGTAGTCGCTATCGATTAGACTATCGCAATCTACGTCTATTCCTAGGTGATGATATGATTTTGAAAGAGCTCGTTTGGTATATAATTATCAAATAATGAAAATGATATCAGCCTTTGAACCAATTATAACTGGTTTGTTAACATTATCTATCTGTTGATTTAACTTTGTTTGTTTGTTCTTAACTGGAATATTTGCTGTAACATTATCAAGTACTTTAGGTAGGATGGTGAATTTATATAGTTATACCTATGAGATCTATTTTAGTAAGACTTGTTGGTGCATCGAAAATCTTTCAAGCTGTTTGTCGAGATATGATTTATTCTCGTTTAAAATATTTTGCTGTTGATAATGGAAAATCTAATGAATCAATACGAACATATGTCCTAACATATTTCGTTGCTGTTTCATTTACTGCTATTGATAAAGAAAATTTTTTGAATATTTCTTGTTTTTCAAATAAATTTTTATATCTTTCAAAGGTGAATTAAATGTAATTGAACCGATATTTTCCAATTTTCTTTTTCTAATGACTTATGCATTAGTTAATTATGCATGTTTCAATGTATCATTAGCAAAAGCTAATGGATGGAGATCAGATTTTCGATATTATAATAAATGATTGGCATTAACTAGAGCATTATTATGTGTTGCAGTGATGTTTATTATCAATCGGTAAGATTTTGACAATGCAAAAATATATCTCGAAAAATCTTCTCTTTTTTTAAGATGGGCTGCTTTGATCACATTTGTAGTCAATAGTGGAATTTTTCTATATGTTAGAAGGACAAAACCAGATAAAAATATTCTAGATATGAATAAAATTTTAATGATGGATTTTTGTAGGATTTAATTGGGGTTCATTTTAATTAAATGACGAAAATAAAGTATATTACTAAATAATAAAGAAGTAACTAATTAATGTATAATCTCGAAATGATGGTAATGATAATCGATCGAGAATATGTCAAAGATGCAAAGGCATAATTGTCTTATCTAAAAAAAACACAAACAATGACTTAACCTCGAAAATTATTCTAGGCGGAACATAAGAAAAATGATTATAAATTAGAAGAAAGAGAACGGGGAATGATAAGTGATACACATCGACTAACAATCCAATAAACTAAAGCAACAATTATTTCGGTATTTTACAAATATCATGAAAAATGTAAACTAGTGACCTCTGATGATTTTTAAATGCCATTGATTAGTCATTCAACAAAAAAAAATGTGTTATTTCAACGCCTAAACACGATATTTCTTTTTGTATGTATCACATCAAATAGTAGAATGTAAATTTTCTTTTGAATTTCACACTCTTTATATTACGCATCATATAGTAAAGCACCCAAAATGACAAAGAATAATATGTAAAATATTAATCTCATTCTTTTGTCAATTATTTTATTTAAATAAAAGCAGGGATAGGTAATCATGATTGAAAAAAAAAGACATCTGAAGAATGTCATTCAAAAAGTGTGATTTCTGGTTGTGATAGTCGTTCTTCACGTGAATTCTCACTTTCTTGATTTGATACCATTAGACAATTTTTGTCCATTTTACATGAATCTGAAGCGTAAATATGCTATTGTTGAAAATATTTTTCAAAAAGTAAATTGCTTACCTATACCACAACATACTCCATTGGCAGCACATCGACCATTTGGTAAAGCTGAACAGATTGTAGTCTTAATTTCACATGGTATGACATTACGGTCTTCCAGTGAACATTGACGAATGTCAGATGGATTGCCAATACGACAAGCTAGGCCAGTACAACAAATTGATGGACCAAAACATTGACCATTTAGTCCACATCTTGGGCACTAAATTTAGGAAGAACGAAAATAATAATCTTTTAAGAAAAAAAAAACTTTATTGATTTCTAACTTGATGATTATGTAAATTATTATCAAAATGTAAGTTTCGTTTACCACCGATAGGACAATTGGTTATATAGCATGCGTGATTCAAATGTATAATA